GGTGGGGAACCTGGGGCTGCCTGGGGGGTGGGTCTGGAGGGTCAGAAGGAATCGGCTCCCTCCCCGCCCCCTGCACAGGCCTCAGATAGGCTCCGGAGGCCATCCATCCAGGCGGAGGCCATCCATCCAGGCCGAGGCCATCCATCCAGGCCGGAGGCACTGCTCCCACAAGGGGGCCCCGTCCCACCCTTCCCAGCTGCTTCAGAACAATCCCAGGTAAACCTGGCCCAGCCCACCCGTGCTCCCCCAGCTCAGTGGGCCCCCACACCTAGCCACTGCCTTCGCCCATCCTCCTCCCTCAGTCAGGATCCCCGCCCCCTCCCTCCCGGCCCAATCAAGTCCTATTCCTTCCAGAAAGTATGTGCAGTCAAACGTCTCCCCCAAGAAGCCTTCAGGAGACCTCCACCCAGGGTCTCCTGCCCAACGCTGCTCCTGGTGTCACCTGCGGGCCCTGACAAAGATGTAGTCCTGGGCCCCACCCCCATCTGCAAGAGCACATCATGGGGTCTGCGTCTGAGCCCTAAACCCCTGGGTCAGACTTGTGCTGGATGGGACAGCAGCCACTTCCCAGGGCCTGTGACTCTCCTGCCGGGGGCTCTGTGATCAGACCCTCCACCTGACACCTTCTTCTCAGAGCTGCCGGCTGGCCCAGTCAGTAGGACCCCAAGTGCCCCAGTCCCTGCTTCACTCACACAGGGCACTGTCTCACATGGGGGCATCTCTGCCCTGGCATGAAGCAGGGGCTCTGAGGTTGGCGGGGACCCGGGGTGACACGTCCTGTTAGAGCTGTGGCATTTCAGGCCCTGCACCATCCTCTCCCGCCTCTGTAAGATGGGGTGACAGTGGGACAGGCATGCTGGGCTCCCCACGGGCCCTCCTCCTTCCTGGGGTGACTATAGCCCTGCCCCTCCCACAGGGCTGCCACCAGCCAATGGGTCAAGGGCCAGGCCCCTGCAAGAGCTGGACCCGCGGGACAAGCTGTAACCACTGACACCCACGGGCACACCTGGACAGGGCCAGGACAAAAGGTACACTGCTAAGCGGGGTCCATGCACCGAGTCCTGGACCCACACCGTGTCTTCCGTGCGGTCACTCCAGCCTGTCCTGCCGACTCTGAAACAGCTCTGGGAACAACAACCCAAAAGAGACCCTGGAGCCCCAGCCCTCCTGCTCACCTCCCAGGAACACGCCCACGGACACACCAGCCAGAGGCCCTGCCCACATCCCCATCCCCGAGGCCAAACCCTGCCTGTCCTCTGCCCTCCCCAAATGCCCTCTGCTGATTCCAGAGGCATCCTCCTCCCTCCTCTGACCTCCCATGGCTCACGGAGACCCTGGGGGCTCTGACCTGCTCCTGCCAAGTTGTCTGAGCCCATTTCACAGGGTCCCAGTGCACACACAGTGACAGCCTCGGGGAGGCCTGCAGCACCCTGTCTGCCCTCTCTGCTCCAGGGGTCACTATCCTGGCCATCCCAGAGTCCCCTCAAGAAGCCAAATGAACCTGTTTCCCTGTTACCAAGAGGCCACACAGGTGTTTGGCAAAGAGCAGGGCCTAGAAAATGAACCAGGAAGGGGGACAAAGTGACACATGCTGGTAAAAACAGAGCCCGCGCGGCGTCGCGTCTTCCTCAGCCTTCCTGAGGGACCCTGCCCAAAGGGCAAGGCCTTCCTGCTGGGAAGAGGGGCTGGAAAGCACTGGGAGACAAGGGGACTCTGGGCTTCTCAGAGTCCAGAGTGGCGGTGCCTGGGGCAGACGTAGACCTCAGGGCACAGGCTACCTGGGCCCTGGGCTTTGCATCACCTCCTCCAAGGGCAGCCCGATGAGCATGCTACAGAGGAAGAAACAGAGAATCAGAGAGCCCCGCGCCCCCAGCAAGGAGGAGGCTGAGCTGGGATTTAAGACTATCTCTGGGCAGGAACGGAGCCTGGGTGGCACAAGTGGTCCGCAACTGACGGCTAACCTAAAGGCTGGCTGTTCAAACCCACCCCGCAGCATTACGGAAGAAAGGCCTGGCAATCTGCTTCCATAATGATCTTTAAGAAAAACCTATGAGGCAGATCTTCTCTGTGGCATGTGGGGTCTCCACAAGTCGGAATCAACTTGCTGGCAGCAGGTCTGGTTTTGGTTTCTCTGCAGGAGGCGAGGACCTCCTAGCCGAAGGTAACAAGCAGCCTTCCCACCCTGCCAGGAACGGGCAAGGACTGCTTATCCTCACCAGGAAAAGGAAAATGCAGGCGAACTTGGGCAGCTGCATTTTTTCTCATGACAGACAGGACTGCATCACCAAACGGAGCCCCAGAAATTTTGCTTTGGGGGAAGTAACTGGCCATTTGTCACGTACAAAGAAATCAAAACACTAACTTGGGGTGGGGGGAACCCCTGAGAAGAGCGAAGGCTGGAGATCACGCTGGACTCTGAGAAAGTCAGAACGCTGGGGATCCTGTGCTGTAAAAACAGCAGCAGCAGCGGCGTCTGACCTCCTCTAACTTCACGAGGGGGGAGAACCATCAGCACCAACAGCCCAAAGCTGATCTGAGGCAGAGACCAGACAGGACTCCTCTCTCCAATCTTTTTACCAATTTTGAAACCAGCCGTCCCTCCCACGGCCCTGTCTTCTTCTTTGCTGGGTTTGATAATCCATTGTGACCAACACAGAACTCAGAAACCACACTCAGAGTTATGGGGTTTATTAGGGAAATAACAGGGTACAACTCAGGATCAGGAAGCACATAGGCAAAGTCTCCCTTCTTCAGTGCAGACAGCTCTCTCAGCTTCTCTCGGCCATGCAGGCCTCCTCTCAGCCGCCTCAAGACAGGCCTCCTCTCTCGGACCTCGGCCCCACCCAGGCCTGGCCTATGCCCTGCTCGGGCAAGTGTTACAAAGCTCTTTTGCTCCACTGCTAAGTACTCAGAGGGACACCACTCCACCAGGAAGCCTCCTGCCTGAAGGTGCTCAGCCATCTTGCTCCACGGGTCGGGTCGCCCACAGTAGCTGCCTTGCTTCATGGGCCAGGAAGCCTACTGCACTGTCTCATGCCAAACTCCTGGTTCCACTGCTGCTGTTTCTCTAGCACTGCTTCTCATCGTCTCATACCATCTCCAGTGTTACAGCTGTCTCCATCCTGGGTCTAGGAGGTTCTCAGCACATGACCCCGGCTCCAAAGGACGTGCTTCGCTCCTGGCTCTTCTTTCTTCATGGTAATGAGGCCCACCCTCTGCTCTGGGATTGGCCTTCTTTTTAAGCATAGCAAGATGGCAAAACTGACCAATCCTCTCAGGGTTCCACACGCCTTATTTGCGTGGTCTTACCCCTCTACACACACGGGTTCCACGCACCTTATTTGCATTATTAGCAATGTTATCCAATCCTTTCCATGGGCCACAAGCACCTTATTTGCATAGTCCCACCCAACCATTTTATAAGAGTCACAAGACCATGAATGGCTAGAAGAGCCATATTAAGTAATTCACTGCACCACATGTTCTCAGTTTGCTTGAATGGTGAGGAGCAAGGAGGCAGGGGGCTCTTTGCAAAACACCACGTACAGTGTTCTCAACGCGGTACCAATGAGCAAACAGACAAAGCCAAGAAACGGCACCTTAACAGGATAAAAACGAACATGAGTTGAGTGTTGCCACCTCCAGGAATCCCGAGTCCACCCCCTTCTCCACCAACTCCCCAGCCCCCACCAGAGCTGGCGGTGTGCCCCAGGGCACCCGAGACCTTATGTTATCTGTGAGCACATCTGGTAGGATCCCGCTTCTGCCGCTATGAATCCCCAAACATGGCACAACAAAGATGCTGGACACCAGGTGTGGAGGCAGACAATGAACGTCGGTGTCCAGCTGGCTGCAAAAAGGTGGCGGGAGATGCTAGCGGCCCAAGTAAATTTATGGGGGAGTGGGGAGGAGTTTAAGAAAATTCTACCTTTTTTTCCTCCAGCAAAATGGGAAAACAAACCTGTTATTTAAATCTAGCAAAAATGAACCTCTTTTGAAGTAAAAAGGTTCTGAGCTGAGAATCATGGTCTAATGGGGAAAGTAAGACGGAATATTTGGTTAAAGAAGAAAACCTGTGGTATGAGGAATCAGGGTGAGAGTCAACCGTGAGAGACAGAGGTCACGTGTGGGATCCTGTGGGTCACCTGTGGTCAGTGAGGGAGCTTGAATTTCTCTCGGGACGCAAGACCCCACTTATTCCACTCTCCGCTTGCAATGCTCCTCTTTGTCATATAATCCAAATCCTCACCATTCTTAAACCTTTCAGCTCAAATCCCACACCTCCTACAAGAGGCACTGCCTGAGCCCCAGCCACCCTCACCAAACTCAGTCACGACACGGATGATCCCCGTCATGATGTGATTGGCAGCCCTTTAATGTTGTCTGCCCAACATGCAGGGCTAACTCCCCCTTCAAGTAGGTTTTGAATTACTCCGTCTGGCCGCGTCTGAAGACGCATAGTAAGCACACCTAAGACCCTCTTGACTTAACTAGTGAAGACGGTGTTCACACTACCACAGGCGCCGCTGGGAAAAGTCGCAGGCAAATAAACAAAGGCTGCCAGCCACCAGCACATGAGGTTGGGGGAGCAATGGGAATGGACTGTCCCCCGAGGAGCTCGGCGCTAATAAGGGGAGGAAAAGCAGCCCTGGGCCTGCCAACTCTTGTCAAACACGCTCGGTTCCCAATTCCCTGCCTTTGTGTCAGGCCCAGCGCTCGGCGCTCTGCCTGCGTTATCTGCCCCACCCTCACGACGGCCCTAGGAGAGCAGGCCCTCCCATTGTTTACATTCTACATGTTTGGACTCGGGCTCAGAGACGTCCAGCGACTAGCACTGGGTCCCGGGGTGGGTGGTACTGGTCCCGTTTGGGGGACCCGTTGCCCGTGAGCGACTGCGGAGGGAGCTGGGCTGGACACATAGATTCGGGGCAGTCCAGGCAGTGGAATCCAGACCTAGGCCGGGGAGCCGAGCCTGGGGCGGGCAGGCGAGCGGGCATTACCTGCTGTGGGGGGCGCCGCTCCGCCGCCGCCGGGCGCGCCGGGGACCCGGGCCCCGCGGTGCCGGAAGTGGCAGTAGGGTCGCCGGCAGGGACCCCCAGCCGCTCCAGCCCAATAGGGGCAGTCGATGGCCCGGAAGAAGCCAGTGGAGCGCAGCATGATCCGTCCTGCGGCGGGGCCCCGGCCCGGAGCCACTCGGGCTCCCGGGCCCCTCACTGGCGCCGCGGTCGCCGCCGCCCGCGCCTCAAGGACCCCGCCGCCGCCATCTTGCTCCGAGGCCCCCAGAGGCCCCCGGGGCGCCGTCGCAAGGGACCGCGGGAGGGGCTGCCCGCAGCGCGCCTGATCAGAAACGCCCGATCCCGCGGGACTGAGGCCGGTGATGAACCCATGGACCGATAGAATCGACCGCAGCAGAAGGTATAGAGGGCACAAGATGCCCTGCCTGCTGCCTCCGGAAGCTCCGCCTGCGCCGCGGCCCGGCAATCGGCGGCTGCACCAGCGCCATCTTGAGCCGCAGGCCCTTGAGGCGACGAGGCTGTCCACGGCCCGCCTGACCGAAAACAGCTCCTCAGGCCCCAGCTATGGGTTATTTGCATTTAATTAGCATCTTACCGTAAAGAGCCCTTCACCAGACAGGGTGGTGTTGCTTGTATACTGGGACACCCTCGCGTGAGTTACCCTGTTCACACTCGGAAGCCCTCCACGCTCTGGTATGCAGCTGGCTCCCTATAAATTCTTAATTTCTCCCAGCTGGACTCTTCCCAGCAGTCTAATCCCCCAGATCCTCGAAGGAGTCTTGTTCCCACTCACTTGTTCACCAATTATTGGGCACCTACTGTATACTATGGAAACCCTGGTGGCGTAGTGGTCAAGAGTTTGTCTGCTAACCAAAAGGTCGGCAGTTCGAATCCATCAGGAACTCCTTGGAAACCCTATGGGGCAGTTCTACTTTGTCCTCTATGGTAGCTATGAGTCCGAATCGACCCCAAGGCAATAGGTTTGGGTTTTGGTTTTGACTGTATACTATAGGGTCGCTATCAGTCGGAATTGACTCGATGGCAACGGGTTTGGTTTTTGTACTGTATCCCAGGCTTTGCATTAAATGCTATGTTGAACCAGGCAGATGAGGGATAAGCGAAGGAGGGCTCACCACAGTCCATTGGGGTGTCTTAATGGGAAGTTTAAGAGGGACCTAGTGCTGTGACGGGGGCAGGAGCCATGTCACCAGCAGCACCTGGCGTGGAGTACAATAAGCGTTGAGAAAAACAAGAAGCGTAGAAGATTGCGGGGCCGGCGAGGGGGGTGGTGTTCTAGGCTGTGTGCGAGGTGAGGGGCCTTCTTCAAACCAGGAGGGCAGTGGGGAGCCGTGGAGGGTTGGGAGCAGGGGAAGGACCCAGTTGAATTTCTCCACTTGGCAACCGCTTCTCTCCCTGGTGACTGTCCATCATGCTCCCTCACTGCCCTTCTTCTGCAATAGCATGGTTATATTATGCAGCCTTTTGTGTCTGGCTTCTCTTACTGAGCAGGATGTTTTTGAGGTTCATCCACGTTGCGGTGTGCATCAGAGCTGCGTTTCTATTTATGGCTGAATAATATTCCATGGCGTGGACATACCATATTGTGTTTATCCATCCATTGTTAATGGGTATTTGGGTTATTTCCACCTTTTAGCGATGGTGATTAATGCTGAATAATGCTTGTACGAACATGTGTGCACATGTGTCTGTCAGCTGTTTTTTTTAATGTTGTGAATTTCTTGCCCGTGTTTAAAAATTGGGCAATATCACATAAAAACTGTGATTCCCAAGCTGCTCTATGAACAGCCTACCACATTGGGCCCACCGCTGGCCATTGCTAAGTTCGGCTACCCCGTCTCCCGGCTGTCCTCCCTTTCACTTTATCTGCCTGGCCCTACCTCAGTGCCTCAAATCTTTCCACCATCGAGGAGACCTCCTTCACGTGGCTCCTGATGATGTTCGCGAGATGGAATGAGAGAATCCCTGACCTGGGCCCATAGTAAGTGCTCCAGTCATGCTAGCTGGTCTTGCTCATTCATTCAACAAAGATTTTCTGAATACCTACTATGTGCCGGGCACAGGGCTGGAAGCATCAGTGAACAAAGCAAGACCCTCACCCCTCTACTGGAGGTGACAATAGTTTCAAAGGTAAAGAGAGAGCCAGGTGGGCCTTTGGGGGAAGAGCATTCCAGGTGAAGGAACAGCCTGTGCAAACGCCCTGAGGAAGGGCGGTGCCTGGTGAGCTGGAGGAACAGCCGGCAGGCCCGCGTGGCTGGAGCAGAGCGAGTAAGGGGGATAGGCGAGGAAGGGAGGGTAGGGCTTTGTGGGCCGTGGGGCGGGCTGTAGGCAGAGGAGGGAAGGGAGTGGGCTCAGGTGCTCGCAGACGCCCTCTGGCGGTGTTGGGGGAGAACACACTGGGCGGTGAGGAAGTGGGGCAGGACCGTGGTTCCAGGAGAGGGGAGAACATGTCAGGCGTCCCGAAATGAGTACTGGACCAGTGGATTTGCCCACGTAGGAGGCTGGGGGTGACAGTTTCCGTTGCATGGAGGGAGGGGGTTCCCAAAAGCCCGATGGGAAGTGTGTCCAGGAGAAGACTGGGAGGAGAGGCTGCGAGTGTAGACCACGCACTCCAGGCGTTTGCTGCAAAGGGGCAGAGAAATGGGCAGAAGCTGGAAGGGAAGGAGTCCAGGGAGCGATTGCCTGGTTCTTCCGATGAATGCGGGCTGGGGGACCACCCACTAGAAAGGAAGAAATCGGTGAAACTGGAGAGAGGGAGAGGCAAGAGGGAGGCTGTCTTCTAGTAAAGGCGAGACGGTGGAGCCCCGTGCCCAGGTTGGGGGCGGAACCCAGGGTGAGGAGGGGGCGAGGGAGCCGGAGCGGCATGCAATACCAGGGCGGCCGCCAGATGGCGCGGCCACCACCTTCCTGGGGCGGGAATCAGGCGAAGCCCCCGGGAAGGCAGGTGCGTGGGGTCGGGGGGGGCGGGGGAGTTTGCCTTCAGGCTCTGGGGGCCCCTGGAATCCCAGGAGGGGTTCAAAGCTCTTGCCAGCTTCTCATTGCCCCCCACCCGGTGGCTTCTTCTCCTCCAGCACTAACCCCTCCCTCCCCCCATTAGAAGCTGCCCAGGGCTGGCATACAGTCAAGCCAAAAACAAAACGAAACCCACTGCGGTGGAGTCCATTCCGACTCCTAGCGACCCTATACGACAGAACAGAACTGCCCCTAGAGTTTTCTAGGCTGTAAATCTTTATGGAAACAGACTGCTACATCTTTTTCCCGCTGAGCCCTGGTGGGCTCTAAGGGCGGACCTTTCGGTTAGCAGCTGAGCGCTTAAGCACAGTCCCACCAGGGATCCTGGTATACAGTAGGCGCTGACTATTATGAGCGGCTGGACAACTGGGCACAGGAGCCTAGCTGGACTGGGATGGCGGGGTGGGGGGCCGGCTGGGGGACCAGGGACCTTCCTGGGAGAGGGCCTGTGGCGTCCGCGGGCAGCCTCAAGGGGCGCCAGCTCCCCCAGCCTCGCCAGCGCCGGAAGGGGCGGGAGGCGGACGCCCCCAGGAGCCGTGTCACCGCGCCTCGGTTGCCGGGTAACCGGGTAACGGGGCGGGAAGCCCTGGCGGGGGGCGCAGCTGCACGAAGCGTGGGTGACACTGGGCGGCAGCGCGCGCTGATGCCAGCAGCCCCCCCCCCGTTAGGGCTGGGGCGCCTCCGCAGCGCTGAGGCAGCCGGCTTTTGTGCATGGGTGGGGGTGGTTATTTTGAGTCCCATCCAGAGGGGCCTGGCCAAGACCACCGCCAGGGCCGGGGGCTCCCTAGCCCACTGCCTCAGTTTCCCCAGAAGGTTGATGGCTGTGGAGCCTGGATCCCACCCACCACACTGATGGGCGGGACAGAGTGGCTCCGGGAGCCCATGGGCTGGGGGGCTAGCGACTAGCGAGGGAAAAAACCACACAGACCCAGAAGGGAGGGTTTAAAAAAGAGGCTGTTTAATTAATTAATTAAATACAGGGATGAGGCCAGGCAGGCAGGGGAGGGGGAGGGGCGCCCACCCACGGAAAGCCAAGTCCCCTCCCGCAGGCCCCCACAGCTAAGTGGCTGCGACCCATCCCAGTACCCAGAAGCTCCTGGGGGAGGGTCTCCAGGTCCGGACACTGGGTGGGGGGAGGGACAAAGAAGAGTCGGGGGGAGGGGGCCGTGGCCCCTTGTCCTACCACCTGCAGACGGGCACCAGCCAGGTGGGGCCCCACCAAGGGAACATCTGAAGTCACAAAGGTACACAGGGCCCCAGCCCCCCCACCCACCCCAGGGATAAGGCTTCACAATCAGCTGCCAGAGAGAGAAGGGTTTGAGGGCGCAGATGGAGACAGCCTGACCCGGTGAGGAACCCCAGGGGAGGGCCGAGGTGGGACCTTCCGGAGCCCAGCTCCTAAAGGTTTTCCCTCCCCCCTCCCCCAGGACATTGTGATCCTGCCAGCTGGGGACATCCAAACCCTCCAGCCCCCTAATTGGGAAGAGAAGGCCTGCAACAAGTGGGGAGACAGACCCTTTCGGGTCTCAGGTGGGGAGCCGGCTGCACCCCTTCCAGTCCAGGGCAGGGTCCTCACCCCTGTCCAAAAAGAAATCCAACCCAAACCTGGCAAGATGAGGGCACGAGAGGTCGTGGCATTTACCTCCCCCCATCCCTCCTCCCCCAAGCTCAAACCACGGAGACCCCCCCCCACACCCCTGAGGACAACAGACCACCCATGCGGGGGCCCAGAACAATAAAGGGATTGGCGCCTGAAAAAATATTCTACCCCGTCCAAAAAAACGAGCTTTTTCCCAGGAGCTGTCCACTCCTGCTCCAAGTCCACGTGGAAGGTTCCGGAACCTCAACCGTGTGGTCAAGGGGCTGTCCCTTCCAGGCACCCAGAAAGAAGAGCGGATGTTAAGGGAAGGAGGAGGGTGCAGAACGGAGCCGAGGGCTCGAGAGAGCCCGTGGCCCTGGCTGCCCCAGGCCCTACACCCCACTTGCAAAGGGGGGTGAGGGGTGCATCATACCCAAATGGCTGTCGGGGTCCTGAACGTTTGGGATTGATTGTCACGAGACACTGTGGAAGGCCAAAGTCGGGGACCCTCCCCCGGTGGGAGTGGGTAGGCCGGGCACATGGCGCCAGCCTCCCCCAACAATCTCACACACACAGACACCCAGAGAAGGGCAGTGGGCCCCCCCACACCAGCGAGACAGAGAGGGAAATAAATAAAGCCGCATTCGCTCCCCTGCCTCCCCCCTCCCCACCCCTGCCCCAAAAGTGAGTCACAACGCTCTTTGGAAGCAGCCCCGGGGTCTCCCCATCCCCACCCCAAGCCCCCGGGGCCCCTACGGAAACCCTGCCACCCTCCTGTCTGGGTCCGCAGGGCGGCCCCTTCTGGGGGCAGGGGGCAGAACCTGGGACACCTGAGATTGAGTACCCGCCCCATTTCCCTGAACGTTCCCAATGGCTTTCGGTGGGGTTGGGGCCCCGGGGGCCAGTGGGGCCCCCAGTGACCCCTGGTTCATCTATGGCTCTTTGCACAGTTCACCCCAAACTGGAAGGGGACGGCCTGGGGGGCGGAGTCCGAGCCCTGGGCAGGGGGCTCCTCTCCTGGGAAGCCCGCCCCCAGGGGAAGCAGGGAGGTGGTGGGACGGACCCGGCATGGCCTGCTGGCCACCCACCTGGGGTCCCTGTTTAACAGATACAAGGAGAGTTAACAATCGTGGCTATTTACACACGCAGGCCCCAGCCATCCACCGAGACCCCCCGACCGGTCTCGGCCCAGCCCTACTTTCTGGAGGGCATGCCCAGGGTCCACAGGAGAAGGCTGGCAGGGGCTGGGCTCCCTGTCCACCCCCCTGCTCCCATGGGTGCTGCTGGTGCTCCATTCCAAAGGGCCGGGCGCCCTACAGGCCGGCAGGGCCGGGGCCGGGGCTGGCTGAGGGGCTGGCCACAGGGCTGCCCGCCAGGCTGCAGGGCAGTGAGTTGCTGGGCGAGGTGCTGCGGGCCCCGGGGCGCCGGAGCAGTTCTGGACGGAAGTCGGGGTGGCGGCGGGCATGCTTGGTCAGGTGGTCGCTGCGGGTGAAACGCTTGGAGCAGAGCGGGCAGTGGAAGCGCTTTTCCCCCGTGTGGGTCCGGTGGTGGCGGGCCAGCTCGTCAGAGCGCGCAAACTTCTTGTCACAGCTGGGCCAGTCGCAGGCAAAGGGGCGCTCACCTGGGCAGAGGAGAGGACAGACAGTGGTCAGTGCCACCTTCTTTGGAAGGCAGACGAGTCGGGAGGTGAGGGCATCCCATCAGATCCCAAAGGGTCCCCAGTCCCAAACACACATCTCAGTCTAGAAGCTGAATTTGGGCATAAATTTAAAACCCTTAAACATGCAGAAAGGAGCCCTGGTGGTACAATGGTTAAGCGCTCGGCTACTAACCGAAAGGTCAGTGGTTTGAACTCACCCAGTGGCTCCAAAGGAGAAAGACCTGGCAATATGTTTCAGTAAGGATTACAGCCAACAAAACCCTATGTGGCAGTTCTACTCTGTCACACGGGGTCGCTATGAGTCGGCATCGACTCGATTATACCTGACAACAACAGGGGCGGGGGGGGGGGCAGAGGGAGTCATTGAAGGGGCACTGAGATCCTGTTTAAGGGCGATGGGAAACCGATAACGGTGACGGTTTGCACACGATGACCTAAGGAATGTCACTCAACTGCACACGTGATCAATGTAATGGCGTGATTTTTGTTAAGCATATACTCACTACAATAAAGGGAAAAAAAAAGGAGACTCTAGGATGAAGCTGAGGTTTCCCCAGGTCCGCTTCGCAGGCCCCCTTGGATGTGACCCCGTGCTTGAACGGAAACGGTGTCCCCCACACGCGCGTACTCATCGCAGTTTGGGAGCGGAGTTTTTGGAGCGGCCGATGGTTATGTAAATGGGTCACTCCGGGCCACCCCTGTCCAACTCGTGTTCACCCCCAGCCCACCCTCACTGATGGTCCAATCCTCGCCCACCCCTCCTGTGGGCATTCCGGAGCCTCCCAGGTGTTCTCGACGCCACCAACGCCCTCCTTTTCCGAAGGACCACCTGGGGCGCAGAGACCTAGAGGAGCCTAGGTGAGTGTCCCAGCAGGCTCTCGTGCCGGGAAACCCTCTACCAGCAGTGACGTTGGAGGCGCCTCCCGAGCCACCTGCAGCCCCGCACAGAGGCGGGGGCGTGACCTCCGGGAAGGGGCGGCGCCTGGCGCAGCCGCCTGGACCGGCCCTGCCCCCGCAAAGCAGATGGCGCTGGAGGGGCCGCCGCCACCCTCAACTTCCTCCGCAGACCCCTCCCACCGCGAGCCTGGCTCCACCCGCCCGTCCTGTCCCTGGCCGCCACCGTCAGGGGCTCTGCTCCAGGCCTGTGCCGACCGATCCCCATCTAACCGGCTACATCCCCGCGGCGTGTACGACACCTCCCCAGCGGACCGGGGTTGCCGAAGGCTGGGCAGGGGCAGGTCGGTCCTGCTCTTAGTCCCAGTCTCCCCCGACCCCCGCGATTTAGAGCACCCAGCTCTGGCTGCCTCCGGCCACGCCCGGGACCAAGCGGCCATGCGCACCCGGGGCTGGCACCCTTCCGGACGTCGCTCCGGTACAGGGACCCGGAATCCCCCGGTCAACCAATCCCGAGGCCCCAGGGGTTTGGAGGGGAATGGGAGAATAGGACTTGGGCGACCACATGCGTGTTCGAGACCCTCGTGGCACTAGATGAGGAAGAAGGGAGCTGACCGGGACAAGGTCACCCGCGTGGCCCCAAGAGCCGGGTCTCACCTTAGGGGAGCCCTAGCGGGGTCTGCAGGGGGGCAGTCACTTCATGAACGACACAAGCGGGGACCTGTGGGGACCCGAGCGATAGGGGGGTGGGGCGTTAGAGAAGGGCATTTGCCCCTGGGCGCAAGTCCAAGGAGGCGCCAGACAGGCCAGCGGGGGTGGGGGGGGCAGGGGCGCAAACTCAGAGATCGCCCCTGGGGGCTCGTTACCGTTGCTACGCCTCTGGGTCTGCCTCGGTGGGGGAAAACTACAGACAGAAACAGTCCTTCAGCCAAGGGTCAGGGAAGGGGCCCCCCCCGAGGCGGGGGAGCACAGAAGGGACCAGGAGCCGGCAGGAGGAACGTGGGACAGACCCACAGTCGTGGGGAGGAGCGTGCCCAGATTCTTGGGGGGATGCGGAGACATCTCCGCTCTTGAAACCTCTCATGGGCTGCCCTGGGAGAAGGGTTGAGGGGAAGGGGAGAGCACGGGGAGAAAGTGAGGGGGTGCCAGCATCCATGAGGGGCTGCCCAGGCTGCAGGAGCCAGAAAAAAACCCTCCCCCACCCCACCCCCTCCCTGCTACACGCGGAGACCCCCAGCACCACGAAGACCGGAGTCTGAGCCCAGCTGGGCCCCCAAAGAGGTGTCCTTCGGGATAGCTGCGGGCCACATGTAGCTGGGAGGTGGACAGGCCCCGAGAAGCGGTGATCCCAAGCAGTGGAGACGGGACCTGGTGTCACAGGAGGCCACAACCACGCAAATGTCCCCAAGACCACCGGCAGCCTCAAATCCCCGGGGGCTGGCCCCGTCCCAACCCACACCTCCCCCAGACCCCGAAGGCAGGGGCAGCAACAGCGGAGGGGGGGCGGGGTGGGTCGGGCAGGAGAAGGTCCCCTACAGCACAAGGGGCTCCCCCCCCGCTGATGGCGGCCATTGAAAACCAACAGCTCCTGGAGGACCCTGATCTGGGAGGTGGGCCCTGGCTGGGGGGGGGGGGTGCCCGGTGGCTTCAGGCGTGCAGACACCCCCCAGGGCACAGGCAGTCCTGTCGCC